GGGAGGCTCACCTTGGGGACACGGGCCCTTGATATGTGTTTCCTGCCTGCCCTGGCAGATTCTTGCCTGGCCTGGCCTGTCGCTTGTGACGGGCCACTGGCAAGCCCCTGCCCGTGTCCTGGCACACAGTGAAACGTAGGATTAGCTCCTGCAAGTAATAGCTCTGTCTCCTGATGCTGCGATGCCTGGCTCCTCAGGTCTGGGAGCGACTGGGGGTCTTTGTTTTTTCCCTCCGAAGCAGAAGGACCCTCAATGCAGAAAGGGTAAGGGCCAAGGGCCCGGTGCAGGAGTGCAGGGCGTCTGTCTTAGTGGGAATGACCTTCTCCTGTCGGCTGCAGGGATGCCTCCGGCAGCCAACCGGAAATGATGAAATCAGCTGGGAGAGCTGGGCTGGGAGCCAACGTTGGGGGGGAGGGGAGGTGGGGGTGACGACAGGCGCGGCAGGGCTGCAGAGGCAGGTAGGGACGGACGGACGGACACCCCAGAGAGTTAGGCAGCGGAAGTGGCAGCTGGCGGCCTCCACCGAGCAAGGCGGATGCTGCCCTGAAGGTGGACCTCTGTGGCAAGGGGATGGTGACCGAGTGAGTGATCTGTGGACGGCCCCCTTACTCAGCCAGGTCAGCCTTAGCCGGGAAGGTGGGGTGAGGGCTTTTCCCGGGGACGAGTTGTTGGCCCGACCCCAGGGAGACCGGGTCTCAGCTGTGTGTCCTCTGGTGTGAGAACCCAGGTGCATGCCTTGTGTCTGTTAGGACAGGTGACATTCGGCTACCGTAGGGCCTTCAGGTAAAGACCTACTGGCTGTGTATGTGTCTCACCCGGCAGCGAGAGCAGTAAATAGTCATCCCAGAGAAGGGCGGGGGTTTCCTCTTTAAACAGCCAGGCCCATTTTGCAAGCTCCGCCGTGACACTCTGAGAGCAAAGGGACAGGACCCGCTTTCCCTGTGGGCGGGTCCCCCCCGACTCTCAGGGCCCCCTTCCAGGACAGGGCTTCCCGAGCCCCCTTCCGACTGGACCCGGTCCCTCCTCCAGGGACCTGCTGTGATTTTTCCTTGAGTCGCAAGGTTGCGTTGCCCTGATCAGCGAGCGGCTCCCCATACATATTTAATCATTACCTTGGCAGTCATAATTCTAGAGCTGCAAAGGTAGGGCTCCCTTCCCTTGGCCCCCACTCCCCTCAATTTCAACAGGCCTGTTGGAATCCACTTCATGTCATGTGCTTGGTTTCGGTGTTGCTAACCCTAAACTAGAAGGCTTCTGTTTTTCCCCAACTCGGACCGCCCGCGGGCTCCGTTGGTAAGCGGGCTATTTTTATAGGGTCATCTAGTGCTCTGAGCGCCCTCTAGGTGTGGACACGCCGGGACCCTTGGTGCCAAGCAGCATCCTCTCCTGTTAAGCTGTCACTTAGTGGGGTCCGTGTGTCCCGACGGTCTCAGGGCTGCCTAGGCAAGGGTCCTAGAGGCCCCCACCCCCACCCCCCAGCAAGTCTCTGTTAGCAGCTCTGCTAGCCCGCCATGCTGTAGCCCTTCCTTCCTGGTAATCAGATCCCACTGGGGTCCGTGAGGGAGTGTGTATGCAAATAGAGGGGCGCAGCCTCTACTCCCAGCTTGTCTCACCGGCAGGAGGTTTGTGCTTGAAAATAAGAACGAGCCCCACCCTCTCTCTCCCTCCTTCTCGGTCACTCGCTGCTGTGTTGGTTAGCTCTTGGCCAGCTCCCTCTCGCTCACGTCACCCTGCTCCGCCTTTGGCAGGGTAATTAACAAGGGGGGGGTGACCTACGGCTGCTGTGGCCTGCACTTTTCTAACCTGATGGTCGAGACCACCCCCAAAATAAAACAAAACCCCAAACTCTGCCACCCAGCCGATGCCGGCTCACAGCAGGCCCGTCAGGCAGGGTAGAGCTGTCCCTGTGGGTTTTCGAGCCTGTAACTCTACGCGAGCAGATAGTCCCGTCTCTCTCCCTGAAGGTCAAGATGGCCAGGTGAGCTGGCTAGGCCTCCGATTTTTCCAAGGTCACCGGTCTCCCTGGCTTGTCCACTCTGGCTGTCCACCTTGTCCACACAATCTTCTCAAGGTCAAAAGCACCGGGCGAGGAGTGACCAACCCCTTATCACTGAGGATCCTGTTTCCTGGTGCCTCCTTCCAGACTCTCGGCTCCCAGCTGAGAACCTGTGCCTCTGAGCACAGCCCTGGAAGGACAGGACTCTCCTCACTGTAAGAGACAGGGAGCATCGGTACTTCTCACTCTGAAACTTTCCCTGCCTCTTCCCTAAGGAGCCCTGGTGGTGTAGTGGGTAACGTGTTGGGCTGCTAGCCTGGAGGCTGACAGTTCAAAGCCACCAGCCTCTCCGTGGAAGCACAATGAGGCAGTCTACTTTCCTAAACAATTAGACTTGGAACCCCCAGGGGAGTTAGTTCTACCCTGTCCTATAGGGTCTCAGAGTCGGAATTGACTTGGCAGCAGTGATTTGGCTTGAGTTTGTGGGGGGCTCCCTGGCCTCCACCTAATCTGTAGTAATCCAAGTGCCCCCCAAGCCTCCCGCCCCTTCTGAGGTCACCTGCTAGAGGTGAAACCCGAGCATAAGAAGCTCACAACTAAGTCACGGGAACAGACACGTGCCGAGGCGGCGGGAGCAAGGCCCTGGGCCCGAGGAGGCAGTCCTGACGACCCGTGTTGGGGAGCTGGGCTGCGCAGCCTTTAAAGTGACGCACCTGAGCGGAAAGAGACGGGGAGACCATTCCAGTGGGAAGGTGGCCCTGATGACTGATGGGCAGCTTTGCAGCCTCAGGTCAAAGCAGACCCTGCTCAGAACTGGAATCCTGCTGAAGCTCAGGCCTGGGCGTTTGCCTGTCGGCAGAGGGAGGTGGGGACAGAGCAGTGACTCCGGCTCGGACCAAAGCCACCTGACAACTCCTGGTCCGGGTTCTCAGACGGCACTGCCAACCGGCCTGTGCATCAACATTTGAACTGTCCTGTGGTCATTGACTTGTCCCAAGTCATCCTCGCTATCTTACCTCGTAAGGCCCGCACAGCGGGACATAGCCTGCCAGCTGGGCTCTGCATGTCCCTGAAGAAGCCGCTGGGAGCCAGGGGAGCCATCCTGATCCCTGCAGAAAGGATGGTGCTCCCGGGAGTGGCTCGCCTCACCTCGCCCCTGTTTAGCTGCCTTTGCTGCCTCTCCCTTTTCATCACGCACCAAGGAAGGGATGTTTCCACTGGCCTTTTTCTCACTGTGCTAGCCGGTGCCATACTTAGTAAGTAAGAGGAGGGCAGCGGAGATGGTAGGAAATGCCTTCACCCTTGAATCCCATGTGTCCTCCACCTTCCTGCACTCCCCGGTGTTTGCTGTGCCCAGCTTCTGCCTGTTGGGGGGCAGCCTTGGGGGCTACTGTTGGGCACCCCCTTTCTCACCTGTCTGCTGGCAGCCCCTGCAGACAGGTGGTGGCCTCAGAACCTTCTCTAGGGGTGTGAAGAGACTTCTCGCAGTCTCTCAGGTGGCTCCTAGGCCAGAGATGGGGTAAAGAGCATGTGTGATTTGGGGAAAGAGTCCGTGGGAAACCTGGGCATTGAGTAGATGAGGGAATGACCGACTCTCGGTTCCCTCGACACTGCTGCACACGGACCAGTCAGCCGAGTGCTTCCTTCAGGCCACGCGTGTCCATCCTCTCTGCTTGCCGCCGGAGTGCCCTCGTGGCACTGGGCCACGCACTGGGCGGTGTGGTAGTGACATCATCTGGTGTCAACTTGTGGAGGGGCGGAGTCTAGCCTGCCAATCAGGTCGCAATTTGATGACCTCCTTTAGAGGCACCAAGGAGATAAATAGCTCACAGGAGGCGGGACACACACTCTCCCTCTGAGACGTTCCTGCTGACAAAGACGCAAGAGCTTTGGAGCTGGAGGAGCCACATGGAGTCACACTCCTGTCAGCATTGAGATGTTTCCACTGCCACTGGATCTAAAAGACTTTCTACCCAATGGCCTGTGATCTTGTATTCATTGTCATTGCATGTGTTGTGTGAGTCTGAAGAGGAATTTATAGACTGGTATCGGACATACGGGCTAATATCGGACTTATGGACTTGATCTGGACTGGGCTGGGGTGTTTTCTCAATATACAATTGCTCTTTGATATAAAGCTCTCTCTTACACACCTGAGTGTCTCTGGGTTTGTTTCTCTAGTCAACCCAGACTAACATAGGCAGCTAGCCACAGGGTTAGCAGTTCAAAACCACTAGCTCCTCCATGGGAGAAAGATGAGGCTTTCTACTCTGGTAAAGAGTTCAAGTCTCAGAAACCCACAGGGGTGTGTCTACCCTGAGTTGAGTTGAGCTGTGTCTACACTGAGTTCCTGGTCCATCCCGGAGGCGCCAGCCCCTGACTTTGCATCAGCAAATGCTTCCAGTCTTGCCCTAACACACAGCCAGAATAGAGTCACGCCTTTGGACATATGCCTTGTGTGTCAGACTGGGTTGCCTAGAGAAACAAATCCAGGGACACTCATGTATAATAATGAGCTTTATATCAAAAAGTAACTGGATATTAAGAAAACCATCCCAGCTCAGTCCAGATCAAGTCCATATGTCCGATACTAGCCCATGAATTCCTCTTCAGGCTCATACAGCACATGCAATGATGCAAAATGCAGGAAGATCACAGGCCGGTGGGTGCAATGTCTTGTGGATCCAATGGTGGTGGGAGCGTCTCAGGGCTGACGTGGGTCTCCATGTAGCTTCTCCAGCTCTCCAAGCATGGCTCTTCAACAAGAACGTGAAGCAGAGAGAAAGACAGTCTAGCAGCACTCAGTAAGTCTCAGCGTGGCTTGCCAACAGGAAGACCAAAGCAGACAGAGAGGGGAAGTTTCCAGAATCCTCATGAGAAGGCCATGCCCACAAGGAGGCGTCATCAGGCTGTGACCTGATGGACAGACTAGACCCCAACCCCTCACTCCTAATACCCTCCAGTTGGCATGCGATTATGTAACACCCGCATCTTGCATACTCTGGGCATGTAACCAGGAGAGACCAGCCCCTGGAAAAGGACGTCAGGCTTGGCAAGAGGAGGGTCCCTGGAAACGAGAAAGGCCTGTAACGAGATGGGTTGACAACAGGCTCGAGGATAACCGTTGTGCAGTGTTTCGTGGTCCGTGGAATCGGCAGGAATCATGACCGACTCAGGCAGAGCTTGCCTCTGGCCGGTGACCATTGTGCAGGGGCTGGTGGAGCTAGGGAGACAGCTAGACTTCGGTTCTGATGAAACGGCTCCTTACTGACCCCTGGGCAACATGGCTGTTGGCAGAGGAGCTCATGTGTGCCAGGGACTGCCAGGGAAGAGCAAGCCTGGTTGAGAAGTGCTGTCTGGACGCTGACTCGTGGACTTTGGACCTGTGACCAGGAAGGCCCAGTCCCTGGGGCAGGACACCATGCTTGGAGGGTCAGGGAAAAGAGGAAGACCCTGAGGTGTGACACAGCGGTTACCATGAGGGGTTCACGGGAGCGCGAGGCGGGCGCAGGGGGGCGGTCTTTCATTCTGTCTCCTCTTCAACATGTTAAGGTCATCTTCCTTCCCAACCTGTCCTTTTTTTTTTTTCTAATTCTAAAAAGTGTATAACCCAGACATTGT